TTATTTTGCAGCTGCAGTCGGTGTATTATGTTTTACTTGCACTTCTTTGCCCATTTGAAACGTCATTTTGAACTTGTTGGCTTCCTTTATTGCTGAATAAAGTTTCTTACTTCTTTCATGTTCTTTGACACCGATCATCATCCAGTCTTCCGTAATTTCCAGGTACCTTTGAAAACCAATTGCTGTAGCGTTGTAAGATAGTTATCGTTGAACTAATCCTCTGCCTCCTTCGGATCTGGGCACATAGATACGATCAACATCAGCCTTGGAATGATGCACGCTGAGGCAAGTGACAAGCTTTCTCGTTATGGCGTCAATTCGCTTAATGTTAGATATGGCCGAGTTAAAGGAACGCTGTGCTCTACTGCTAGTTATTAATATACTTGATGGGGTTTTAGTCACGGGTCACATTATATTCAAACTTTAGTCGGTAAGCACGATCCCGAGTAATACAGTTCAATTAAACGAAACAATCCCGGTGCGTGAAGTGGGCTTTGCTATTTTTGTCGTTCGTCTCCCCACCGGAACTGTTCATTTACGGTGTGTACCTGTCTTATTCAGTCCAACGAGCCGCGGATTTATGTTAGTGGTTCGGAAGATGTTTCGATCTTAATGATTCTTTAATTCGACCGATCTTCCTGAAAGGCGAGAAACTCCAGTAAAAAGAACGAACTCTGTTGATAAAGCTATCAACAATTTCTTAATGAAGAGAGCTTACCAAATTTGCAGCCATCACACTCATGCGGTTAGTCTTCAGTAAATTCTTTTCTTCCCTTGAGGCACTGAGAGATATCTAATAGTTAAAATGTGGGTGTGCTGACAAGTTCGCTGCTGCTAGAATTTCGGCGAAAACGAATAGCGGTATGGTCCCGGAAAGTACCTACCGAGAACTGAATAAAGTGGCATTTGTGTGGCCTTGGATAATTAGGCACCCACACAAAAACCCTCTTTTTTAACAAAGCCTATCAGCCTTGTCCTTGATCCATATTTCTAAAATACTTAACTCCAAATATTTTGGTAAGATTTCTATTTCAGTCTGTCACATCGGATTCTGAAATAACATGTCTGCGTTTTTGGCAAACATATTAATCCCGTCATGAATACTTTCGAGAGATGTGGGTTTAGGCTGGGAATTTCATTTATGCTGGATTTTAGTGAATCTTAATTTGTTTATTTTAGGTTGAAATCCTCCCGATGTATTCCTCATAAATATTTTATAGTTTCGAATTAATATTTTAAACAGTTTTTCTTCAGGTTCCAACCCGATTAACCACTCCCCCATATTTTCTCTATCTAATATCACTACTCCTTTGCTCAAGATTACTAAGTTTCTCAATACCTCAAGTCACCAAAAAATAGTACCTGCACTGGTATGACTCTATTAGGACCACTGTCGTGTTAAATTACCAACAGCATATCCTTTCAGAAAATATTTTTGTCATTCCTTCCTATTTTTCGAAGGTTTTAGGCTTTAATCCGGAACATTTATCGGGAAACGAAACCGCCATCATATTGATATAAAATAAAATGATCATTGGCACAAAAATAAAAAGGATATTTCATCACATCAGATATATTTAACCTTCACAGCAATCCCCTCCTAAAAGAAGCTCGTGCCCTGGCTCTACAGATCTCTAAAGCGGTTGATAGGGCTTACTGGCATTCTTCGTAAGCTTCAGGGATACGGAATTTCAGGACGATTATTTGACTTAATTACAATCGTTCCTGACAAACCGTGTAATGAAGGTAAACGGATTCTCTTCCAGTTCCTTTCCCACGAACGCAGGTGTTCGCCAAGAGACTCTCCTGGGCCCTGCATTGTCTCTGGTCTTCATTAACGATTTTCCCGATGGCATCAGTTCCTAAGTAGTCATCTATGCAGATGACACCACTATTTACTCCTACCTCAATAGCAAATCCGGCATGTCTGACAAAACTAACCTGGCTGTTGGTCTGGAAAAGGATATCCAATCTGTTGTTAACTGGGGCAAGAAATGACTGGTAAACTTTAATGCCTCAAAAACAAAATTGCTATCTATTACCCACCACAGAGAACCCTCCCTGCTTCCCATAAGGATGCTCAACTCCACGAGAGCTCTCTGCGACTGCTTGGTCTCACACTGTCCGCTGACCAGAGATGGAACACATACATTGAATCAATAGCTTCATCTACCGCAAGGGGAGTTCGCCAGAAAGTTTTTCTCACCCGAGTCCATCCTTCAAATCTATAAATCAACTATTCGCCCTTGCATGGAATACTGCTATCATATATGGTCTGGAACCCGCGCTGTTCGTCTTAAGGTCCTCGACAAAATCCAGTAATTGGTCCTGATCTGGCTTCTCATTTACAGTTGCTCTCTCACAGACGTGCCGTCGCTTCCCTCTGTCTTTTCTACAAATACTTTCAGGGTAACTGCTCCGACGAGGTACTTTCGCTGGTCCCGAAACTGCATGAATTTAAACGTGCTACTAGGTCGGCATCTCAGTCCCTCCCTTTCACTGTCGAAACGATTAAATGTAGCCGTCTCTTCTACTCCAATAGCTTCATGTCTCACACTTCCCGTGTGTGGAACTCCCTACCGCTTACTTGCTTCCCTGATAGCTATAATCTCTAACTATTCAAATGCAATATCAATCGACATCTTCAGATGCCTTGATCTAATTCCCCGCCCTTCTCTTCATCCTTTCCTCTATCACGCCTCTTTATTCTTGCTCCCATTCTCTGTAACCCCTGACGTGCTAGTGGCACTCCCGCCTTGCTAGGGGGGAATTCTTAAAAGAAAAAATCCTTCTTTTTCTTTATTTGATAAAGTTCTTCTAATCTCTAATTGAACTCTATACTTCTGACATATCCGACGAAATTCTGAAATTTTATTTACTATTTATTTGTTATGTATTTTTCTTTAGTAGAAGTAGACAGGTTCGCCTATCACCCGGTTCACACTCCTCTCCGGCCTTTTCAGTAGGAGTTGAGGTTTATCCCTTGTTTCCCGTGTAGGATTTTGTTTCCGGTTCCTTCTAAACTCTCATTCTCTTTCACTCTCAGTAGTCCCTTGCGTATTAGTGGAATCATCGCCTTGCTTGGGGTTAATTGATTAAAAAAATAGGAAGAAGGCTTTAGAAAGGATCTGCTGAATTTTTGTGCTGATAACACCAGAATGAGTCCAATTATACTAAAAATTTAAAACGATAATAACCTCTCTTTTTTATTTACTCCTGAAGAATACCGTAGAATGGGTCGGCTGAAACTTTGTACAAACAACATCAGAATGAGTTTATTCGTCGAAACCAAAGCTGTTTGATGAAATCTTAACGACTTTTCTCAAAATTATATACAATATTCTTTTTCTATTAACGAAATATTCCTATTTTGAAATCGACTAAACTTTACGTAGCACAGTGGTTTACAGATTTTTTTTTCCCCTGGTTCACATTTTTCGGAATTAAAATTTATTATCGCCTCAAAGTTTATTATCGTCATAAAAAAGTACATTTAAAAATAAAAAGAGAGTGTGTTAAAGGGAGATAACTGCAGATTTGAAGTCAGAACATCATCATTAATAACTCTCTCCCCTAAATTGCGGACCCTAGTTATATATATTCTTAATATTTGATATAATAGCTTGTCAACCATCACATCACTTTGTGGTTCCTTAGTATTTTTCTAAGCACCTAGTGTAGATCGAAATCACTCGTAATTGATCTATTGAAGCAAGCTTGCTAACCATTGCGGCATATTGAAGTTCCCTAGTTTTTTTTTTCTAAGGACGTAGTGAAGTTCGATCTCACTTGTAAATGATCTAGCGAGGCAGACTTGTTAACCATTACAACGCATTGAGGTTTCCATGTGTTTTTCTAAGTGTAGAATATTTGTGGCACAAGGCAAAAATGTGAAGCTCCCAGTGAAGATCAAACTCACTCGTAATTAATCTAGCTAGTATAGCTTGTCTATATTTCTGAGATGAGGTATTATGTACATTATTTACATTATTCGGACTATTGTCCTCATCTTTGTTGCCATGTTTATCACAACGTTTCGGCCCTTCAGTATCTGTCTATATTTCTGAGATGAGGTATTATGTACACTATTTACATTATTCGGACTATTGACCTCATCTTTGTCGCCATATTTACAATAACGTTTCGGCCGTTGTACGCTCCATCCTTCTTCAAGTGGTTGGAATGTCGAACTGAACCCTTTATTTCGCTCACTGGGAAACACGAATAGTCTACCACAGTGAGCAAAATAAAGGGTTCAGTTTGACATTCCTGAAGAAGGCCGGAGCGTACAACGGCCGAAATGTTGTAATAAATATGGCGAATATAAAGATGATGACAATAGTCCGAATAATGTAAATAATCTAGTATAGCTTGCTAAACATTGCATCATGTTGAGGTGCCTTTTTGTTTTTCTAAGCCGAAATTATGTAGCAAGAAGTGAAGCTAGGAAACACTTACTCAGTCGTAAATGTTCTAGCGAGGCAAACTTGTTAACCATTACACTACGTCAAAATGCCCAAATTGGTATAAGCGATCTTTCAATTTAATGTGTAGATCAGTCGGTCAACACAAAACTATTTTTCTCCCAGCATTTGTCTTGGGAATGATTTTCAGTTCAACCAGTAGAAAAAAAATTCAATTTTGATTCTATTCCATGTTTGAAACTCACTTTGACAATGATAAATTAGCTTTTCTTTGGCCACGAAATTACTTTTCTATTTTTATTCGACGTCTATTATCGTAAAAACGAATAATAATGTTCCATCAACCTTTCAACTGAGTGCTGAAAAACAAATTGGGGATTTTATCGCAGATAACGGGATAATCTGTCAGTATTTTTAGGTCAGTTAAAACGTCGGGGGAATGTGGGGTTTTGGAGAATTCGAAGAAACAAGAGTCGAACATTGAGAGATCGTTTCAGAGTTTAACGCAACGAAACCTTTTCTAGGCCATATCCCGTTCTATTTACACTTGTGTCCTACTAAGACATTGTGTCCGGACTAAGAAGCGGAAGAGGATAGAGACGGAGAATAGCGGAAGAGGATAGCAGGTGAGGCGGAAGAGGGATGAGGCGGAAGAGGATAGGGTGAGGCGGAACAGGAGAACGGGAGGAGACGGAAGATAACGGAAGAAGGATAGAAGGTGAAGCGGAAGGAGCAGGTGAGGCGGAAGAGGATACTATGTGAGGCGGAAGAGGATGAGAGCGGAAGAGGGAAGGCGGAAGAGGATAGCAGGTGAGACGGGATAGAAGGTGAAGCGGAAGAGGATAGCAGGTGAGGCGGAAGAGGATGAGGCGGAAAAGGATAGCGGGTGAGGCGGAACAGGATAGGGTGAGGCGGAGGAGAAGCGGAAGAGGATAGCAGGCGAGGCGGAATAGGATAACAGGTGAACGGAAGAGAATAGAGACGGAAGGGAGGTGAGGCAGAAGATAGAAGAACAGTGAAGCGGAAGAGGATAGCAGGGTGAATAGGATAACAGAGAGACGGAAGAGAATAGAGGCGGAAGAAGGGGATAGCAGGTGAGGCGGAAGAGGATATAGATGAGGCGGAAGAGACTATGTGAGGCGGAAGAGGATGTGGGTGAGACGGAAGAGGATAGCAGGTGAGGCGGAAGAGGATAGCAGGTGAGACGGAAGAGAATAGAAGATGAAGCGGAAGAGGATAGCAGGTGAGGCGGAAGAGGAAGAGGGAGGCGGAAAAGGATAGCAGGTGAGGCGGAACAGGATAGCGGGTGAGGCGGAAGGCGGAACAGGGAGGCGGAAGAGATAGCAGGCGAGGCGGAATAGGATAACAGGTGAGACGGAAGAGAATAGTAGGTGAAGCGGAAGGGGATAGCAGGTGAGGCAGAAGAGGAAGTAGAGGCGGAAGAGGGATGAGGCGGAAGAGGAGGGTGAGACGGAAGAGGATAGCAGAGGCGGAAGAGGATAGCAGGTGAGACGGAAGAGAATAGAAGGTGAAGCGGAAGAGGATAGCAGGTGAGGCGGAAGAGGATAGCGGGTGAGGCGGAAGAGGATAGCGGGTGAGGCGGAACAGGAGAAGCGGAAGAGGATAGCAGGCGAGGCGGAATAGGATAACAGGTGAGACGGAAGAGAATAGAAGGTGAAGCGGAAGGGGATAGCAGGTGAGGCAGAAGAGGATAGTAGATGAGGCGGAAGAGGGTACTATGTGAGGCGGAAGAGGATAGTGGGTGAGACGGAAGAGGATAGCAGGTGAGGCGGAGAGGATAGCAGGTGAGGCGAAATGATTGAAAGACAAACAAAGATTTAGAAACAGTTCCAAAAAATTCGTATGCCAAAAATAAATATGATTTCAAAATTTAAAATATTATTATGGATTACTTGCATAAGTCCCAGTATAAATAGTTTTACATCCTCGCTATATCACTTACGAGTAAGTTCGATCTACACTAAGTCCTTAGAAAAACACTAGGGAACCTCAATATGCCGTAATGGTTAGCATGCTTGCCTCGATAGATCATTTATGAGTGAGTTCGATAAAATATTACAGTAACAATCATAAATATGAATGCAGATCATTATTTAAAGAAGTAAGAGGGTACAAATAAAGGTGGAAGATGTCTTACTTGTCATACAAGCCAATAACTATTGGCTTTGCTAACATACATTGAAACATCAAAGGACTGGATGATACAATTAGTCAAACAATACGGAAACAGGAACAAAAATATTCAATCAGTAAAAGAGCTTGTAAATACAAGCGAGATTTACATTTAGTAGATTCTGTAGAAAATCAAAACAAAACCCAAGAACCAACTGTTGCAGCTACAATTATGAAAAAGAAAGCCAAGGATAAAGTTCTTGAACAGATGAAACAAAGCTGGCAAGACAACTCTCTGCATGGCCAATATCCAGAACGAGGCTAATAAAGCCGATGTTGATAAAGTTAACACTCAATGATGTTTACGAGCATTTGGATTAAAGGATGGAACGGAAGGCTTTATTCTTGTAGCGCAATACCAGAATCTTTTTATGAGGAACTTTCAGACGAATATCATTCCTAATAGTGTGGATCCAAAATGCAGGTTCTGTGACAAATATCAGGAAACTAGAGACCATCTACTCTCATGATGTTCTGAACTTACGCTAAATGAATGTAAAAATCGTCACGATAGAGTGGGGCAATACTTACACTGGACAATGTGCAAACATTTCGAACAAACAGTGGCAAGAACGTCACCCGGCACTGCTTACAGAAATAGAAAACATCACAGTTCACGCTAGTGATGTTATGGGAGTTAGAAAAACAAATCATGAAATGTAACCATAACAACACAACACTACCTGCCTTACTTCTTCCATCAGACTTGTTAGGTACTGTAACCATAGCAGAAATCGAAATATAATAATAATAATAATAATAATTACAAAAGGTCCCAACAGATTCATTGAAGGGGTTCCGGGTAGCCCATGTCTTAAAGAAATGCAAAAACATTGTACTCACAATTACAGCTCACACGTTACAAAACACTTTAGCTATGTAAAATGTGTATGATCTTGGGTTTTGTTTTGTTTTGTTTTTTGTTTGTGTTTGTTTTGTTTTTTTTTGGTGGGGGGGGTACAAAAATGACCGGTGAAAAATGTCAGGAAGCTCTTTCTGTCATTAGGTCTCTGGTTTGGACCCGAAACGAAACATGTATACAACGGACATCAAAGGATTTGGAACTAATAATAATAATAATAATAATAATGGTCGTCTACACGTTTCTGAGCACACCCGTCTGCTAGGGATACTGTCCAATCCTTGTTGCAGACGCCTGCTCAAGCATATTTTATTTATCCTACAACTATACTAAGCAGACATTCGTTATAATTTCTAGGAGAGAGAGAGCATAATCTGGAGTGATCACTAATTGTGAGCAAAAGACAATTGCACTCAAATACTTCGGTTGCATTAAATTCAAAATGCTCCAGCGCTTACTATATTGAAGTCGACAAACGGCAAATGAGTCTTTTTTTTTTTCTTTCTTTTTTTTTTTAAGCGTTTCATCCCAATCAAGGCGGGAAGCCACTAGGGCGCAAGAGGTTACAGAAGATTTGTAGCAAGATCAGATTGGAGTGATAGAGGAAAGGATGAGGAGGATAGTGGATAGATCAAGGCAACTGGAGATGTCGATTGACATTACATTTGAATAGTTGGAGATTATAGCTCTCAGGGAAACTGGAATAAGGAAGGAGTTCCACAGGCGAGAAGTGCGAGATATGAAGCTGTTTAATATATAAAAATGCAATAAACTTAGGCTCGCCTGGTACAAGGCTATAAATATGGGCATGTACCCACAATCGAACTCTCTAGATTTGTAACCATCTGTGCCGATATCTCTCTACTCACTACACAACAGTGAAGCGTCTTCTATGACTATTATGACGCGCTTCCTTAGTAACCGTCACGGAAACGCTTCTCTCCTCAATCTCTGTTTTACCTTTATTCATGACTCATGTCATGCTACGCAGCTCTGCCCTCTTGGCAACTCTGATCTCGCGGCTATGTTTGTAAAAATCTCTTTCCGTTCCCCCACCAATCAAAAAACCCTTAAAAACAGAATTTCTTTCTGTTATCAACGAGCGGACTGGGACTCGTTCCGAGATTTCCTTTCTTGACATCCCTTGGAATGTAGTTTTTAATCATCCCGTTCAAAAATGCTCGACTGAGGTGTCCTCCTGGGTAAAAGCCGACATCGATACTTTCTTTCAACTTGGTTCTCGCTTGTTTGCTCAGTCGCTATAGCCCACAGGAATCACTTCTTCCACCTGTACCAGAGAGACTTGTCTGATTGTAACATATTTCTCTCTGTCTCTGCTCGTAACGCGTGCAAGTGTGTGCTCAATGAAGCAAAGTTACTGTTTTCTGATAGGATGAAACATCGTATAGCATCTCGCAAGTTTGGTTCTAGAGATTATTGGCGGTTCTGCAAGTGTAGGCTGAACTACAGCAAATCCTCAATCCCTCTTTTATTTAATCAATTTGAAGTTCTAACATCTAAAACTGATAAGGCTGAATACTTTGCTTGAAAATTCTCATCCAACGCAACTCTTCACTGTCACGGTGTGGCCACACCCGACTCCCCCGCCTAGAACCTAGGCTCTACTGAGTGACATGGGCATAAGTTCATCGTTGGTCTCGGAAATCATTTCTAAATTGGACTCCCATAAGGCAGGAGGTGGAGGCGAAGAGATCCCAGGCGTCGTCCTAAAGAAACGTGCTCCTGAGCAAGGTCCAGTTCTCTCCAAACTATACATCTATTGCATCACTACTACCTGCTTTCCATTGTTGAATGTCCTCCTTTGTCGTTCCTGTTTTTAAGAACTCTGGAGAACCTTCTGACTCTTTTAACTACCACCCTATCAGTCTCCTACCGCCTTTAGGCAAAGTCTTCGAGGCTTTAATCACTGCTGAAGTGGTTAAGCATCTTAAATCTCACGATATACTCTTTGAGAAACAATATGGATTCCCTTTTGCTCGGTATACTGCTGATGTTCTTACAGACATATCTCTTGATAATAACGGCGAAGCTCGGGCTGTGGCTGTAGATATCTCGAAGGCGTTTGACAGTATGCTGGTCTCCTACAAAAGCTTCAGGATTACGGTATTACAAGACGATTAGTTGGTACAATCCACTCATTCCTATCAAATCGTTAAATGAAGGTCGTCCTGAACGGGTTATCTTCCAATTTCTTCCCTACAATTGAAGGAGTTCCCAAAGGCTCTATTCTGGATCCTACACTGTTTTTGATCTTCATCAATGATCTACCTGTTGTCACCATTTCTCAAGTTGGCATCTATGCAGATGACACTATCATTTACTCCTGTCTCAATAATAAATTCGGCAGAGCTGACGAAGTTAACCTTGCCGATGCCCTTTAAGATGATCTCCAATCAGTGGTTAATTGGAACAGTAAATGGCTTGTAAACTTTAATGCCTCCAAAACTAAATTGTTCTCATTTAACCATCACAGTGAAACTTCCCTGCCACTCTTCCACATTAGCTTGGATGATGCACGGCATCGTAAGAGTGTCTCATCGCGCCTTCTTAGCCTCATGTTTTCCAATGAATTGAGGAGGAACGACAATATTGAATCAATAGCTGCATCTACTGCAAGGACAGTCAGTTCACTGTGTCGTGCCAGACATTTTTTCTCGTCAGAGTCCTTCTTACACATCTACAAATCTACCATTCGTTCGTGCATTGAATATTGTTGCCATATCTGGTCTGGTGACGCTGCTGTTCATCTCAAGGTTTTTGACTAAAATCCAAAGAAGGAGCTGCAATATAATCGGTCCTGACTTAACCTCTCCACTTCAGTCACTCTCTCATTGACTTGATGTGACTTCCCTCTGTTTTTATACAAATATTTTCATGTTGACTGTTCTGATGAGCTATCTTCCTTGATCCCCCAACTAAATGAATTTAAGCGTGCTACCATCTTGGTATCTAAGTCCCATTATTTTACTGTTGAAATAGTTATATACAACCGCCACTTCTACACCAACAGTTTCTTTTCTTGCACTTCCCGACAGTGAAACTCCCTTCCTAATACTTGCTTCCCTGATAATTTAAATGGAACGTCAATCGTCATCTTTTGTTGCTTTGATCCTCGTTCTTCTTTTATCCTTTCTCCAATCCCCGCTCTATACACAGTCTTTTCCCTCACTTTCACTCACTGTAACCCCCCACCCACCTCCTTGCTTGGAGTGAAATGCTTAAAAAGACCACATGACTATAATAACTATTATATACTATTATATTAATATTATTTGACTGCTATATGATTATTATGGCTATTATATGACTATAACATTTATACTATCATACTCAATATGATTATTATATGATTATTACTATTACATAAATAACCTTACATTATTGTTAGTATTATATACCTTATGGTTATTATATGATTATTATGACTATTATATGACTATTATGACTGTTATATTACTATCATGGCTATTATATGCATTATGATTATTATGGCTGTTATATGACTATTATGACATTTTTATTTTGACTATTATATGCCGTATGACTATTATATGATTAGTATGACTGTTATATGACTACTATTTTATATTATTATGACTATTATATTCATTATGATTATTATGACTTTTATATGACTATTATGACTGTTATATTATTATGACTATTACATGCCTTATGATTATTATATGCTTATTATAACTATTATATGACTATTATAACTGTTTTATTAATATGACTACTATATGCTTTAAGATTATTATGACTTTTATATGACTATTATGACTTACATTTTTATTATGTCTATTATATGCCTTATGATTATTATATGATTAGTATGACAGTTATATGACTACTGTTTTATATTATTATGACTATTATATACATTATGATTATGATATGTTTATTATGAGTGTTTATGACTCTTATGACTTATATTATTATTATGACTATTATATACCTTATGGTTATTATATTATTATTATTACTCTTACATGACTATTATGACTGTTATATTATTATTATGACTATTATATACCTTATGATTATTATATGATTATTATAACAGTTATATGACTATTATGACTGTTTTATTATTATGACTACTATATGCTTTATTATTATTATTTGGTTATTACGACTGCTATATGACTATTTTGACTTATATTTTTATTATGTCTATTATATGCCTTATGACTATTATATGATTAGTATGACTGTTATAAGACCACTATTTTATATTATTATGACTATTATATACATTATGATTATTATGACTGTTATATTATTATGACTTTTATGTTATTATTATGACTATTATATACCTTATGATTATCATATGATTGTTATAAAGGTTATATGACTATTATAACTGTTTATTATATTATGACTATTATATGCTTTATGATTATTATATGATTATTATGACTTATTTAACTATCATGCTAATCCTTGTGATAAATGTTCTTGTTAGACTAATGTTTGTTAATATGTAAAAATATACCGTATATATTCAGGTTTGTCCGCCCCTGCTTGTCTCTGTGTGGAGGGCGTGCTTTTTTCTGTACGTGTGTATGCATATGTGACAATGGCTGTGTGTCTTCGTGTGCTTATACTTATGTGTGTATATTTGTGGCTGCTGTCTGCTTATTGGTCAGCAGGTTATAAATTTAAACAACATATGGCAAACCTTGTCGTTTGTAGAAGAAGAGGCGCAAATTATCCGAGAAGATGGACCTTTTTTTTTTCAACTTTCACTTTCATTTTCACTTTCAATTACATTAGGCCTAATTGAAAAATACTGAAGACAGGAAAGAAATAAACTAGGAAAGAGCTCGGGAAGAAAAAATAGCCTTCCTTCTCGCCCTTTATAAATAAGATTTATTTACTTACTAATCTATTGGTTCATACATTAGCGCTAATATATGGATACTTTGGGCAACTTCTCCTCCTTTTAGCCATTGAAATGAAAAAAGACTTTGTTCCCACTTCCCTCCTACTGTCTTTGAAATTTTAATAAATAGTGGAAGCTGTATTTGAATACATACATATACATATATATATATATATATATATATATATATATATATATATATATATATATATATATACATATATATATATTAAAAATACAGCTTCCACTGATATATATATATCGACTCTTCTCTTTAAAATATACACTTTTCTCTCGTTAGAACAACTATAAGATCTCCCTATATATATATATATATATATATATATATATATATATATATATATATATATATATATATATATATATTCAAATACAGCTTTACTACACACACACACACACACATATATATATATATATATATATATATATATATATATATATATTGGAGAGATCTTATAGTTCATCCAACGAGAGAAAAGTGGATATTTTTAAAAAACCTCAAACGTGTTTGGTTATAAAGTGGATGGAAAATAAAGTATAATATATATTTTTAAAAATCCACATTATAACCAAAAATATTTTCGGCTTCTCTCTTCTCTTTCGCACACACACACACACACACACACACACACACACATATATATATATATATATATATATATATATATATATATATAAAAATAAAAAGGCTTAAACACTAATATTACATGGTCATAATTTATTCCATTGGAATCATAATACGATCAATTCATCAGACCTACAAATTCAAAAGAGCTATTTTTCTGTTTTTCTTTTTGAATATGTAGGTTCGATGAATTGATCGTATTTACGATTCCAATGGAATAAATTACGACCATGTAATATTAGTGTTTAAGCCTTTTTATTATATTCTTACTCTGTCCTGGACATTGAGTTCTACCTGGATTCTATCCTCTTGGAATTTTTTTTATACAAAATATCTATGTATGTGTGCGCATGTATGTATATATATTTATATATTTTGCATATGTATGTGTATATTTACCACTAATATTATATATATATATATATATATATATATATATATAGATATATATATATATATATATAAATTTAAAAATTTTAAACACACTCGGTTGTATATTAAAATGATTGTGTTTTATTATTCCACTCAGATTCCTCGAGTAGTTTCGGTGGTCAGCATGGCCATCATCACGAGAAAAAAATCTGCTTTTTAGTAGCAGTGAACTACTAGAGTGAATGACTTTCTGAAGAAAATGAACTTTATCTGTATTTTTTATTTATTTTTAATCGTTAATTTTGGGCAGGCCTTGTGTTGGCCAAACGGCCTCTTTGTTTGTTGTATACACATGCCCTTCCGGGTCCTAACCAGAGATCTAAGCTCAAAAATGGCTTCATGACATTTTCCACTGATCATTTTTGTAAAAAAAAAAAAAAAAGCTCACACGCATTTTACATAAAGTTCTTCGTAATGTGTGAACTGTAATTGTGAGTACATTTTTTTTTGTATTTCTTTAAGGCATGGGCTACCAGGAATCCCCCCAATGAGTCTTTCAGACCCTTTTCCAATCAATCCGAGGACTCAAACTACAACTGGAATTATAGATGTCCTCATGTGCAACATTTTTTAGCTTTCTATTTCATGATCCTTGTATTTTGATAGTTTTATTTAAAGATCTTCCCAGATACATTACAATCTGCAGGGACTGCCATGTCAATAAGAAAACACAGTCTCTTTTTATTATTATTATTATTACAAAACAAATTATTATTATTATTATTATTATTATTATTATTATTATTATTATTATTGTGTGTGTTATGTTTCCTGCTTTGTATTCTGTAGTGCCGGGCCCAAACTATGGTCTTAGGCTCTATAGGAGAATTGTCATTTTTTTTATAGCTGTTGTGGCCTGTTTAGGGCCCAGAAAGAAAGACACGGAAGACGAAGGTAGGTTGAACAAGTTTATTGAAATAACCGACATATACAAAGCAAGAGTATTAGTAATAAGCAGGTAGAGGTCTACGTCCGTGTTCCTCTCTGGTCAAGGCAGAGAGTTCGACAGATGAACAATCTATGCGACTGTTAATATTTAACAGCCCCCCCTTCACCCACGAGGGATGTATGTGGCACAAGGCCGAGTTTACTCTTGGGTTCTCCGAGCCCGTAGGCTCAGACCAAAATATTCCCGTACAACCCGCATTAGCGGGTCCGGGCCTTTCTACCTCCCCGGACGAAACTTTGCTCTGCGGCAAAACTTCATCCGAATTCCTCTCTGCCGAAGCAGACCGTTCGACAGTAATGAACAGTCTGGTCGACTGTTATATTTAACAGTCCCCCCACAAGTAATGTATGTGGCACAAGGCCGAATTTAACGTGGGTTTCTCCGAATCCGTAGCGTCGGCCAAAAATATTCCCTTTGAACTCGACTAGACGGGTTCAGGGCCTGTCTACCTCCCCGGACCAAAATTTGCGCTGCGGAAAGGCTTGGTCCGAGGCAGTAAGTTCAACAAAAATGGTCGACTGTTCCTACAAGGCCTTCTCTCCTACTAATCTAGTCCAACATAGACTCTTTAGAGGAAGGACA